AGGTGGGAGATGCCATACCTGCCCCCATTATTCTTTCTGATGCTCAGATTGTCCCATCTTTGACCCATGGAAAGCCCTTTCAGTTAGCTCCTGGGTCTTTTTCACATGATCTCTCTTTCTCATTGCTTCCTTCCTTGCATTCTGAAACAAGACTTATATCTTTGCCTCTTTTAGTGGGACAGTCTGGTTGCTAGAGTGATGGGGGTTGTGATGACTTCTAAGCCTTTTCAGTGGACAAAGTTATGTAATAAGTATTTTTTAGAAAGACAAAAAAAATCAGAAGATTTTACTGATATTTCGAATTCAAATATAAAATTCAGGGCTTTTACTTGATTGTATTCTGTGTCTCTTTCCTCTTCTGAAAATCTTGGCTTTTGATTCCAATGACATAATATTTTCTCTATCATATATAAATACCCATACACAGAGTTTCAAAATGACTCCACCAATGCCATTGCTAAAAATAAAACTACTAAATGCAGTCTAAGATTTCTTTGTGGTTATTTTGATCTGTAGGATATATTGTATTAGGAGAGTACAGACAAAATGCTGGGCTTTCAAGTCACCTGAAGTAATTCTATGTGTGGAGTTGTTTTTCATTCTGTTTTTTTGAGACTGGGTCTTGCTCTGTTGCCTAGACTAGAATGCAGTGGCATTATCATAGCTCACAGCAATCAAACTCCAGGGCTCAAGCAAGCCTTAACCTCCTGAGTAGCTGAGACTAGACATGTGCCATCATGGCTGGTGAATTTTCTTTTATTTTTTATAGAGACAGGGTCCTGCTATGTTGCCCAGTCTGGTCTTGAACTTCTGGCTTCAAGTGATCCTCCTTCCTTAGCCTCTCAAAATGCTAAGATTATAGGCGCAAGCCACTGCACCCAGCTAAGACTTGCTTTTTTAGAAAATTTTCAATTATACAAAACATTGACAGGGCACCAAAGTAAAAGGCATACAAGATTCAGATCTAGTTACTATCCTTGTCCATCTCCTTAGCACTACTACCAAGAGAATCTTTTTATTAGTTATTGGGCACAAGTGATCTTGCCTCAGCTTCCCCCTGGGACTACTGGTGCCCACCACAATACCTGGCTAGTTTTTTCTTTTTAGTAGAGAAAGGGTCTCACTTTGCTCAGGCTGGTCTCAAAAGATCCTTTCATCTCTTTTTTTAAAAAAATAGTAGCAAATACATGGTACATACACGGTGTGTACATATATATATGGAAATATATATATTTCATTTTTCTGTTTCTTAAACAACAGGACACCATACACAATATTTTCACTATCATGTATAAATACCCATACACAGAGTTTCAAAACATTCAGCAGTTTACATTTTCACTTCCTCTATTCTGGAGATGGCTCCAGAACAGCACACAGAAATAGTCCTCATTACCTTTTTACAGCTGTGCAGTATTTCATTGTACGGATATAACAGTTTCCTTCCATTAGTCCTCTATCAGTGGAGATTTGAGTGGCTTCAGATACCATAAATAGTGCTATAATAAACATATCTGGGTATGTAGCATTTCATATTCTTGTCAGTGCGTCACAGAAGTGGGACTATTAGTTTGACGAATAAACATATATAATTTTGCTAGTTATTAACAAATTCCATTCATGAAGATTTGTACTTTTCAGGACGTCTGTTTCCCCACTGTCTCACCAACAGCATACATTGCCTTATTTATGAGAGTCTTCCTCTGTCACCCTGGATAGAGTGCCATGGCGTCACAGCTCACAGCAACCTCAAGTTCATGGGCACAAACGATCTTCTTGCCTCAGCTTCCCCCGGGACTACTGGCACCTACCACAATACCTGGCTAGTTTTTTCTATTTTTAGTACAGAAAGGGTCTCGCTTTGCTCAGGCTGGTCTCAAACTCCTAATCTCAGGTGACCCACCCACCTCAGCCTCCCAGAGTGCCAGGACTACCGGCGTGAGCCACTGTGCCCAGTACACATTGCCTAATTTAGATTTTCCGAGTCTGCCAGGTAAGAGAGGTGTTTCAGTAGTTTTAACTTGTGTTTCTCTTATCATATATATCCTCAGACATTTAAGGGATATTTGCATTTTATTTTCTGTAAAGTTATCTGTTCATATCTTTTTGCCCATTCTTCATGTTCTTCCCAAAGTTTAGAAATTCTTCATATTTTAGGGCCATAATTAGCCCATTATAATACATGCTACAAATGTTTTGGCTAGTTTCTTATTTATCTTATAACTTTGCTTTCTTGGCCATCCAAAATTATTTTTAGCTAGTTAAAAATATAAACTTTTCTTTTTATTGCTTCTGGATTTTTAGTCTTAGGAAGATTTTTCCTACTTCCAGATTATGCAAGAATTCACCCATATTTTCTTTGAGTTATTTAGAGGGTTTTGTTTTTACAACTGGGTTTTCAATCCATTCGGATTTTATCCCGTGTACGGTGTGAGAAATGGATTCAACTTTTCTTTTTCCATATGGTTAACCACTCTTGTCTCAACACTATTATGTTTCCTTTCATATGCTAAATTCCTAAAACTTTCTTTTGTCCAACATTTTAGCCTCTCCACACAACATTGGAAGCAGAGTTGTCTTGGGCTACATGTTAAACATATAAACACTAATGAAAGCTGATGAGCAAACAAAAAGGTCCATGCATGACTTTTGAGATGCCTGCCATCAGATAAGCAAAAAGTATATACTCCCATAATATGCTTGTGGCTGGCAGGCTGCAGGTTGGGGAGGTAGAGTTATTCCTCTTTCCTCAGTGTTATTTTCTAGGTTCTTTGGCTACTCGTTTATTCTTTCTAATACCTTGGCACAGGAAAAAACTTCTTGCTTTACTGGCAGCTAGTGTGGTCCTTTAAAGATAAACAATATATATGAATGGACACATTTCAAAAGTGTTCTCTAAATAATATTCCAAAACCAAGCTTGGGCCTCAACTTTTAGAAAATGAGTTTTAGAAGAACAAGGAAGAAAACAGAAATCTTAAGGGAATGTGTGCACATAGCCATATACGTATGGAAGCCACAACAACTGCAGAACAGCCTTCCTTCAGAGTAACAAGGGTTTACCTAACACTCCCCGGGTCTAGGATCCTGTCAAACCATTATGAACAGATCAGTCCATAGTTCAAGACTCAAGAAATATACAGCTGTCTCTTTGTGACTATCATAGTTGAATTTATTCTGTAAAATAAAATTACATTGTTTATAACTTAGCAAAGATCAAATGCTGTAATAGATTTTTTTAAAGAAAACATTTAGCACCCACTATTATTTTTAAGGATTTGAGGATTGTGACCCTCTCTGCTAGTTCAATCTTCACGAAATTACATATACTATACCCCAAGGTAAAATCTAACTTTTAAAAAGAGTTGTAACATTTTTCAAATAAAGCAAATTCAGCAAGTAGGAAAGTAAGTTTCACTTGATATTTGTGTATATCTTTTTCTTGAATCACCTGACACATCTGTGGCCAGAAATCTCATTCACTAAGCGACACTTTACCCCAAGGGCTAGGACCAAGTTTCCTGTGCAGAGACCTTCTTGTATAAGTGAACTGGTATCTGCCCAGCAAAGTATAATTAAGAGAGATTGGAGAATGTGTCAAACAAAAATATTACCCAAATCATTTTTATCATTTATAGGTTTGAATCTGGCCATACAAGACAATAACTAATAAAAAGTTAAGGATAATTTGTTCTTAAAGCAGAGAAATCACACAACACATCTTGGCTCTCATGTTGCCTTCTTGCACTAATCTATTTAACCTGTCTAGTGAGATAAATTACTCATCGTGAAGCTGTTTGCCAGCTTCAGTATAACTATTTTTTTTTTTTTATATAAGGGAGAGACTTTGAAAACTGAACATTCTGGCAGTTAATCAACAGTGACACAACCTTACATTTCCTAACAACTATGTATTTCCTAATTAACCACTTTAAAATTGCAATAACCAAAACTATGAAACCATTATTTGCTTGACTTCATTTAACCACCTTTCTCCTAGACAAGCAACGTTAGCCAAACACAAGGCAAAGGGGCCTTGTTAGTGACAATCCTATTCCATTTTCTTCTGTGGAGGTTTTCTCAGCAGCCAGTTATCAAAAGGAGCTTTTTCACAGTTTCAAAGTAGTTTTCCTCATTTTAAAACCACAGAAAGTGATACACTTGTTGGTTGTTACTATCAAATAATAGTTTAATCAACCTTATAGAATTATAACTTCAAGTATGTAATGATTTAATCAACATAATACAATTATTAATAATAATAAAAAACCCAAGTACTAGCTCATTTCTGGTGCTGTAAGACTTAATAGCACCCCCTATTTTTATATTTTAGTGGTATAAATGTAATCCAGTTTTAGCACCCATCTACAAAAGTTAAATGTTAATTAAAATATGATATGACTTGGCTTATTGGAAGGTAACAGTCTTAACATCCCTTTAAGTGAAGAAATCTGTTCTATTACAGATTGGTTTATGGAAAATAATAGTAGTATTGGGAAGAATAAAGGCAGACTTTTAGTTAAGGCTTTTCAGTATGTGAATCACTCAAGTATTAACGTTATGTTTCCTTAGAAGTATAGAATTATATCACACATATACGTTATGGGGTTATGTTATTGCAGATTATACACATCATGATGGACTGTATTTAAAAATTTGAACAAAGTTTTGTGGTCTTAAATATAAAAGACAAAATCAGAAAAATTAACGCTAGCGATTGGCTCATATACTTTTAACCAAAAATCTGTCTTGTCACTCCATTTCAAAAACATAGTGAAATATTCTGAACTGATAATTTTTACCTTAAAAACAGATTAACTATATTAGTTATTAGACATGATAAATATAGGCAAATAAAGTGCACCTTTTCAGTATATAATAAACCCAGAAATCTCTTCTTTAAATTGGCAATATAGGTTGTAATATAAAAAGTACCCAACTACCGAAGTTAGATAAAAATGAAAAAAGTTCTCAGCTGAAAAATTACAATTTTTCAGTACATCAGAGGGACAAATAACCTTTTATTTAAAGCTATTAAATGTGGCGACTCTTACGTATTTCAATTTTGTGTAGGAGAAAGGAAAGTCATTCTTTTAGAAGGCACTAACTGGTTTAAATGTGCAAGCAACTTCATAAGGAAAACATGTGCAAAGTACAGTCAAGAAGACTGCCTGCTTCTTGTGTTGTATTCCTTGCTCTTCATAGTCGATTATAAATTATTATTGAAGAACTGTATCAGTCACCAGGTTTCCCCAAACAGCTTCAGAGTATTCAGTCCACGGTATCACAGATTTCCTTTACTTTCTGATTGAACTCTTCCGGTTGATCTGCGTATACATAATGCCCTGCTCCAAGAATAGCCTGGGTAAGGAAAAACATTTAGATAGTGAATGAAAGCATTTAATAAAACACAATGGCATATGAGCAAAGACTGTTAGTAATAAAAGTGAGAGCCAATATATTTAAATAAAAAAGAATAAGCAACATTGATTTTTAGTAACTATTATTTCTATTAAAAGAATCTGAAAATAGATAAATCTACTCAATCTTAATACAATTTTAATATACAAAAAACTCAAAATTGACCACTAATGAAAGGCCAACAGAGAAGCTGAACAAAGTGAGAACGTGCTGCCCTGTTAGGCAGAGTGAGTTGAGGAGCTATTGGACTAGCCCCTCTCCCAGTCTCTAGGAATGCTGGGATGCTAAGGCTCTAGGAATAGAAAAGGCAGGAAGGTGATTCTGTTTGGACATGAAGATTTGTGTGGATCAAACTCTGCCCCCATCACATGTGATACTAGGTCTCTGACAGAGGTTGCAGGCCTAACTCAAATATGAAATCACAGGGATGACCCGCAACAACATTTCAGGGTCATATAAAACAGACTTCACCTACATCCAACAAATCAAAATAAAGCCACACACTTACTATCGTCTTCACATACGAATGTGGTCGTAATGACTGGATGCTGGTGCCAGAATTGCCATCTATGCAGGATCGGGCACCGAAGATCACTGAAATTGGAATGTCAGGATGCATTTTACCAATTCGCTGGAGCATTGGCCTCTTTGCCCATCCATAAGGAATAGTCATATTCTTGAAAGCTGTCTCACCACTGTAAAGGCAAGAAGAAAATTACCTTGTAGGACTTTTGGGAATGAATACGCACTGTACTCTCGCCTCTACTAAAACACATTCATATTTAGTTTTTCTAGCATTTAAGAAAAAAAATCTCAGCTTAAATAGAAAATAAGTTACTGGACAGAAGGAACAAACCTCACAGAAGGTATATCACTGTTAAGGCTGCTGTGTAAGAAGCAGCTGACAAGCAGTTATCTTCTTCCAAACCAAAACATGCAACCCTAGTTCTCTATCATTAACTTATGGAATTATTTCTTGTGTGGATAGTTAAAATAAGTTCTTTCACTCTGACTCATTTCAAACTGATGTAGAAGGTAGCTGTCCATGGGTTAATGGCACCAGCTTTGCAATAGCAAAACCATTACTAATTTAAGAAGAAACACAGATTAGGTATTCTTGCAAACTCCCAGGATAGGTCCATTTTGCTTTCATTTCCGCTATTCTTGCAGAACTAGACATTACTCTAAATTGCCTTTAATGAAGAAATTGAGTTTCATAAGAAAGGCAACACACTAGAACTGCATAATGAGAGTGAGTGAAGAGTAAAACACAAGACCAGGCAGGGCAGTGGGTAAAGTTCCTGAGACAGATGCCTAAAAACTGTCGAAACAAGCAATTAAGTGTGTGTGCATAGATTAATCACCAGACCCAACTGCCTAGAAGTCACAAAACCTCACCTCTTAAGGAGCCTGACCCTCTAGCCTACTTGATTAAAAACAATGAGGCTACAGCTATTCCCATCAATAGCTTTCACGGCCTCAAACTTTTTAATAAAGTGTCTATGTTTTCTGTCAAAAGTGAGAGAGGAAAACAACAAGGGAGGGAGTCTTTCTCTGCATGCAGGCTTTTAGCCTTTCACCTAAGTCTCATTATTAGAAAGGACGAGATACCACTTCTACATTTTAAAATGTACTCCAACAGGGTCGAACTCACTGATTTGGGGGTGGAGGGGTAGGCTCCAAGGCCCACCTATACTAGAAATACCTGGAGGACTTGTCAGAGATGCAGCCAGAACTGTGGAGTTAGAGACTTAGAAACAAGTCTCAGGTGTACCATTTTTAACACACTCCTCAAGAATTCCGGTACCCAACAAAGCATGAGAAGTGCAGCTCTCATCTTCCCACTCTTCTTGATGCTCCTCTTACAAACTTGAGGGCCTTGTCCTTCAGCTTGCTCCTAGCTCCCCACTGTCTTCAGGCTCTGTTTCCTCCACTCCCTCTTGCTGAGATGCTCTCTCTCTCTCCCTATAATAGCGGTCAAAATGCATGCAGAATCCCTCACCTAGTCCTCACCCTCTGCAGATATCTTTCTCATGCCGAGCTATAGACATTTGGAGCTACTCAGTAAAAGAGAGATACAACCATCAAACAAACCTGAAAAATGTTACACAGTATCTCCCATGCACTTTGGTACAGTAAAGGGTGGAAGAAGATCCACTGTATAGAAATCCAGCACCTTCTATGTGAACATTCCTACTTAGTTTGGGAAACACTGCTTAACGTGAAATTCTTCATCTCAGATCACCTCCTAGAGAAGCCCCAAACCAAGACTTTACCAACTGTCCCATAAGCACTTTAGGGAGGGAAAGGACATCTCAATTTTTAACCCCTCATTCAGAACCCAGCACAATGTTTTCTCTAGCAGGTACTCTATGAAAAAAGGAGAGAATTCAGCAGTATTAGACACTTGTCCTTTTAGTCATTTAACTATCGATAGAAATCTTCTGAACTTCAGATACATTTTCAAGAAAGAAAACTGAGACCCAAGTACATTTAGAATCAGAACTGTTACCTTGGAGTCTGCACGTTACAGTGGTAGATGTACTCCGTCACAGTATCGTCTTCGAACATTGACGAATACTTCCGTTTGAAATCAGGCCTTAAACGCTGCACTAGACTTAAACCTGTTTAACAGGAAAGAAAAAAACATGCCTGTTTTAAATTATATGTAACTTATAGACAAAATAATATAGGAAGTTTTAGTGTTTGCATCTATAATGAGCATTATATGTAAACATATATACATGTATAACAATATGTATTTTAGGTGAAAGAACAGAATCTGGAAACTGCTCTCCTCAGGTTCCGTAAATAAAAACTAAAATAAATTCATTACAATTAAAGAGTATTGTTTTCTGCTCCCTGGCTGCCTGACGATCACTCGCCATCATGAACGATAACAGTAACCATCCGGACCAGGAAGTTCATGACTAACCGGCTACTTCAGAGGAAACAAATGGTCATTGTTGTCCTTCACCCTGGGAAGGCAACAGTACCAAAGACAGAAATTAGAGAAAAACTAGCCAAGATATACAAGACCACACCCGATGTCATCTTTGTATTTGGATTCAGAACTCACTTTGGTGGTGGGAAGACAACGGGCTTTGGCATGATTTATGATTCCTTGGATTATGCAAAGAAAAATGAACCCAAACATAGACTTGCAAGGCATGGCCTGTATGAGAAGAAAAAGACGTCAAGAAAGCAGCGAAAGGAACTCAAGAACAGAATGAAGAAAGTCAGGGGCACCGCAAAGGCTAATGTTGGTGCTGGAGATTGGATAACAGGCGAAGGAGTAAAGACTCTACAGTGATGTTATCTGCAGCCATTGTATAGATTTTTCACAAGAGGATTAATAAAGACTTTTCATGTGGAAAAAAAAAGAGTATTGTTTTCTGACTTATGGATGTGTTTTAGGCACTCAAAAACATACCAGTTTTCTAAGATTTGTTTTTGTAGAAATATAAGTTATTTAGATATGGCAGGTGTGCAGAGCCAGAGCAACCCATATACAAAATTATTAGCTCACATTTCTTCCATAATTATGACACATAAACATCTCAATGAAGTATTGACATTTATAAGTATTTCAGTGAGAAAATAAATTCCATTTTTATTGTAACACTACAAACACTCCCTGTTAAGATCATTCACGGTGGCTCCACACAGTCTGATTGAGAAAAAGGCGATGGTAAGGCCCCTAAGGGAAAGAAGATGAAGAGCAGAGGCCTTCATCTCACCACAATGTTCCCTCCCAGGTCCTCAGAAAGTGGCTAGTTTCCCTTTCTGTTACTACTACCCCATTACTGCAGCAATGCTTTGATTCTTTACTGGCCCTCCCCTCAACTCAAGCAATAATGGGGGACCAAGGGCATGGCTCTCAAGATCTTAGGTACCCTCCCTCCTACTAACTTCTTTTCACACCTGACCCATAATTGCTATTTGTGTACCTGTGATCTGGTGAGATTCATTTACATTTCAGAACTACACAGACTAGTGAATTTGTAAGTAATTCACAGAAGGAGTGGCTCTACTAGGGAGCGCTGGAAAGACTGGGGTGAGCACCAAGTGCCATCTGTAAGAGTACTGAGGGAGTGGAGTGTGGTGGTCTCCAGAAGCTGAGTCCTACAGTCCCACTGCTCTCCCCACCCACACGGACAGCATTAGGGCCAGAAGGGGCCAGGGCTGGGCAGAGGAGCAGCATCCCCAGGCACCTGCTCCCACACCCTCATCCAGCTCCCCCTGCTATCCTGCTTTTCTTGCTAACAGAACCTGTTTTCCCTATTGTATCAATTAGTCAGCAATGTGCCCAGGAAAGCAGGCCCCTCCAGCCCCTGAGAACAAATCATGATTGGTCAGTCAGAGAAATTTATTCTTCTTTGCTGATGGAGGAACTAGGGGTAAGCACAGACATAAGAGCAGGTGTGCTGGGGCCTTTCAGGGAAGATTTTCTTCCCTGACAAAGCATTATGCTGAGAAGGACTGTTTTCTATGCTTTCCTTTCTTCTTGTCAGGGTGCTGTTTTGAGAGATTATGCTCCATGCCACAGCAGCCATCAAACAACCATGAGGAAAAAGGTCAAGAGGTTCACAGAACATAGACCCAGACCCTAACATCAATGAGCTAACTATGAGATAGAACAAGCACTGAAACCACCTACCTCCAGACTGCTTGATAGGGAAATAATAAAAGGCCTTATGGTTTAAGCCACTTAGCATTCAGTTACTCATAGCCAAAGGCGCTCCAGACTGATATGAGTGGTATGGGTCAAAGGCAGAGGTTCAGACCATCATCACCCATGACAATGTGGGAAGGAGATACCATGGCTAGGGGCTGCGACAGTGTAGCACAGAGTCAAACAAACTAAAGTTAGAGAATAAACTCTAATACCTCAAAACAGGATCAGAAATACATATTAGAAGTCCCCATGACTTTATCTTCCCCACACTCTGACATTATAGAGAAAGGAGGAATCTACAAGTGTGTCGGCACCTGCTCTCCCCAGGGCTGACCAAATCAAGTTCTGTGGTCTCCCAGCTGGACACCATCAATCGGCGTAAGGCGCACCAACAGGTCAGCATGGTACACGCATTCTCCTCAGGGCCTAGGCTGGCAGAGAGCCTTTGTATTTCCCAGACACTCTGCTTGCTTGGCTTTCTTCAGACTGTTTGGACTAATCTCATCCCAGGGTCTCCCTCCTCTGCTGTGCTAATTACTTGTAATGATTACAACATAAAGACTCTCCTTTGAGAAGAGTCTAGCTTCTTTATCTCTGTACATAGGACAAAACTTACTAGAGGAAGGGAAAAAAAATAAGGATTCGGGATTTTTTGTTTGTTTTTAGATTTTTGGCTAACAATATGATTCATAAATATTCCTCTATTACTAATCTATAACATTTTGCTTTCTTAGAACAAAAGCACTCACCAAAGGGTCCGGCAATCCTGAGGCCAGCTAAAGGGTTAAAGGGAGTCAAAGCTGCTCCCAAAGCTCTGATCCAAACTGGAATTGGCCTGTCTTGATCAGCAAGATCTGGTCGTTCAGGAAAACCCCAAGGCTCCACTAAAATGAGATGGCTGACTCTGTTGTGGAAAGAATAAAATTAAGTTCATTTGCCAAATTCACCCTAAGAAAATGAAGAGCATAATTTATGAAGTAAATTTATGAAGTCAAGGTAGAACCACCTTCAAAAACCTTCACGTTAAAGACTAGTGGCTAAAACAGGTTATATCATGCTCTTACCATGCATAAACTTTTCAGATTGAGTAGGAGTTGAGAGATGTATGACAGAAAGAGGGCTTTGTTTTTAGTATCTGTAAATGTAAATGTGAACAAGAAAAGATGTGCAAAGTAGTGTATATAATTATGTTTCCTGTCTGAGCTATATGTTTTATATTGCTAATAATCTTAATTTTCCCATCATATGAAACTTTTCTCTGATGAAGGAAAACGAGAACAGGAGTATTTCCATGTAGCTGCATCATGCTTTTACACATCATAAAGATTCTAAACAAAGCACAAGGTCCTCCTGATACAATACAATGTTCAACTGTAACCAAAGCAGCCAACAAATGCCAGACAAATTTCTCAAGGATGAACTGACAATGATTCTAAAGTTCCTTTCCTAAGTCAAAATGAAAAAGAAAGATAAAGAAATTAAAATAGGTGGACAGATGGTATTATTCCTTACATAAATTCTGTTTTAGTATTTGCATTAGCACAAAGGATGAGTTAGTAACAAGTCCTTTACTTTGACTGTTTTGCAAAAATAAGCTTTAGAGCATAGACCCAGAACATAGAGCTCTATGGCCCCTTGGAGAATGTTCAGTCCAATGTGTCATCTCATATGAGAAGGAAGCTGAGATGCATTATGTGACTGGCCCTATTCAACAATGCTAGTTCATGTAGCACAAGGGCTAAACCCCCATTTCCACTCCAGTGTGCCAGCAGATGCCAACAAGCCACGGAAAATTAGGCTAAACAACATAAAATAAACATATTAGTAAGGTGAAAGCTTATCATCAATTGTTGACCAGTCCTAATACTATAGTCCAGATTTCCTGGCATTGAGGAGATTTAACCATGAATCGATGTGGAGATACAGGATATGTGACAATTCCATATACTTAGTGTGCCCTCACAGCATAACAATTGCATATTAGAATATTTTCTAATAGAGGTTAGAAACTAGTTTCTTGTTTTGGTTTGGTTATTAACAGTAAAGACTATCTCTTTTGACTACCTCCTAAATTCCTTCTATTACAGCTCAAAAGCAAGAGTGGGGGGGGGGTAGTTAGCCAGAGATATGAGTAAAATTAATGCAATAGCCACCTGGTTGAAAGCCACAAAGATTCATGTTAGGAAACAGCCATTATTATTCACATTGACTTATCTTCCAAAGAGAAAAATGAACTCTTTATTACAGCCTGGGCCTGCCAAACAACAGTGACAGCTGCAACCAAAAAACAGCTGGGCATTGTGGCAGGTGTCTATAGTCCCAGCTACTTGGGAGGCAGAGGCAGGAGAATCGCTTGAGTCCAGGAGTTGGAGGTTGCTGTGAGCCTGTGAGCTGTGATGCCCGGGACTCTACTCAGGGCAACAGCTTGAGGCCCTGTGTTAAAAAAAAAAAAAAATATATATATATATATATACACACACACCCCCACCCACCCACCCACCCTACCATAAAAGATTGTTAGTCTATGTTACCGATATGTTAAAAGATCCTGTCCAATCTCTTCTAGGCTCTTTTTGACCTGCTAAACCCAAGAAGAAAGAGAACAAAAGGAAAGGTCTGAAACTGATTGTTTTGTTTTTGCCTTAGTTTGGCTTGCCTTTTTAATGTGATCTAAATATCCTTAGATTAAAATGTTAGTTTAACAAATATGCGAAGAATATATACTATGGCAGGTGACCTTTTTGTTTGTTTTTAAAAAGGAGTCCATTTCCCCTATAATGTTCAAGCCCATTCCTTCAGAACCTAGCATGGTGCTTAGCAAATGCTTGGGAAACATTTGGATTGTTATGTTTTCTATGTTTCCTTTTTGTCCTTGTTTATATGGATGTACAAATTTTATAGAGTATAATCACAGAGTAAGCATAGCAGTTGGTCCCGCCTGGATTTTTCTGCTCCTCCAGAGGACATTAGAACATCAAGGCTATTTCTTATTCTCATAGGTCATTACTTGCTAATGGGTAATAAAATCATTCAGAGGGTCAAGAACTAGTTTAGTTTGTTCTTTGATGAAATCATATTGTTTGGAATAGAAAAATACATCATGACAAGTGTTAAGTGTTGTCCACAAAATTTTATATGCGTTTGGGTGTCTGCAACAAGTTTTGTGGAATGCTACTTACACTTGTGATATAGTTTGTACTTTTTATTTCAAACAATACAAGACAATTTGGTCAAAAGAGTTAGAAAATAATTTTCAAAAACCATACACCACCTAAACTGCAGTTATAGATCATCTGTTTCTATTACATGTAGAAGACCTCGGAAAGTACTGGTTTTTTTATGTTTAGTTTTTATGTTTAGGTTTTTAAAGCGACAGACTATGCAGTACTTAGGGAGTGGCTATTCTGTATCCAGTAAATGTAAGCTAGTTATAGTAGCACTACAGACTAGCTAGAGTAGGATTTATCCTAGGGAGCAGGGGAAGACAGTGCCTGGAACCCAGTAAGCAGTGAGAAATTTAATTTTTATTCTTCAGAAAAGCCTGATGAAAGGTTTTGGTTCACAGATTATTATAACTTTGCACCAGACCAAGTTCTTCTCACTTCTTCTTCTAGCAAATAGGTTATCTCATTTGATAGGAGTTATGATTTTAATGTGTATCTAAGCTAGTCTAATTATTCAACTCTATTCTCTAATATTTCACAGAGCACACCCTGCTGGGATTGTTAGTTCACATCTAGGGTATGGAATGGGTCCAACCAGACAGCACACAGAGTCATCCTATTAAATATCCTCATCAAGAAACAGATACTGGTTTAAACTACAGGAAAAACAAAGAACCAGCAGAGTAAGAACAAGAGAACAGTCCATTAGTTTTGAAATATAAAAAGGTGGCTCGGCGCCTGTGGTTCAAGTGGGTAAGATGCCAGCCACATACACCTAAGGTGGTGGGTTCGAATCCAGCCGGGGCCCGCCAAACAACAATGAGGGCTGTAACCAAAAAAAAAAAAAACCCAGGTGTTGTGGGGGACGCCTGTGGTCCCAGCTACTTGGGAGGCTGAGGCAGGAGACTCACTTGAGCCCAGAAGTTGGAGGTTGCTGTGAGCTGTGATGCCACGGCACTTTACCCAGGGGACAGCTTGAAGCTCTGTCTCAAAAAAAAAAAAAGAAAAGAAATATAAAAAGGCTTTCTTCTCAGTGTTAGTCATAGGAGTTGGCCTTGAGTTTCAGAATGGGAACAGATTACAGCCTGAAGGGCCAACCAATGGACAACACCTGCACCAACACAGTGAAAGCAGATTTCATTTGGTCTAAATGCTAACAAGGACCAGCTGGGCATGATGATGCTTTCCTATAATCCCAGCACTTTGGGAGACCTAGGCAGGAGGAATGCTTGAAGACAGGAATTTGAGACCAGCCTGAGGCAACACAGCAATACCTCAACTCTATACATACATACATACATACATACACACACACACACACACACACACACACACACACACA